CAACGTGGGCGAGCTGGTGCGGGCAACGCCGATGGCGACGCGGCGGTGTTCTGCTGCGGCTGCTGCAAATGCGAAGGGAGGAGCAGGAAAACGGAATGCGAGCGCGGACGGGTCATGGGCTAGCGCTGCGGGATGAAATGCCATGCCGAGGCCCAACGTGGCCTGGCTGCTTAGGATGACGGCGATGCGTGGCATACACGCGGCGATGATGCTCTGAAATGGTCGGCCACTGTAGCTTCCATTCAGTTCACCCCACCGACGTCTGACAGCGAGTTTTCGTCGATCTATAACTCCTAAACCATGCTGATCTAGCTCCTGGCGTAGTTGACAAAGTTGGAGATCTAAGTGAGGACTAGAACTTTTCCAATTGGAACTTTAGCTAGTTCAGCCTAGTTAGGGAGATACAGGGCTCCAAACATAGGTACATGAAACTGAAAATCAGTCCCAAGACTTAGAAAATTTCTAAGTCACCAAATTGCCCCCAAAACTGACTTGTGGGAACTTTTTGAGCATGTTGTGCATGTTTTCATGACTTGACCTCTAAACAAAATTTGTTCCTTATATAATTTGCTACAACTTTGTTTTAGGTTGCTCAAACATGCAAACACTCTAAGTTGTACTTCTTAAACAGTCAAACAACAGAGCTCCAGGGGTCAACACAAGTCAAACTATTACTTGGAAGTGTAATTAGGCAATATGATCAACATGAACATTGTTCCAAATGACATTCTAGGTGTCACTAAGTTGTTTAAGAGAAGTATTAGCCACATCACACATTGGTCACACAAGAATCAAGCACTGTATGTACTGAAACAATGAAAAACAATTGAAATGTTACATTTGTTTCATAGTCATGTTTCACCCATTTCACGCACACATGGCAAAACAAACATAGCACCCAATCTAGTAAAACAAAACTATGCCACATACATGTTTCATTAGTATGTTTCCATTCTATATTTCATGTCATGCGTATGCATGCAAAATAATGATTATGCTCATGATTTGCAAAATGTTAATGCATGCTTAACACCGAGGTGTTACAGACGCTGCGCTACACTGCACTGCACTGCGCTGCTTCCGGAGCTACATGGCCGCAACCCGCCACTGCATCACCATCCTATCTTCCACGACACCAAAGGTGAGCCCCGGTTTTCCCCTGCTCGCCGCCGGACCTCGCTGTGTCGGCCATGGCGCTCCACACCGGGAGCGCATAGGCCAAGGCCGTCTCCGGCCTCTGGGTACACACGCACTCACGCGCACATCCACGACCATGCCGAGATCGCCCACCAGCGCCCCGTAGTGCTCCTACGTGCCTCGTCGTCGCCACCATGCCGCCGTGGACGCCGTGGAGCCCCTACCGGCCACATGAGAACCCGAGCCCCGCCTTGAGCCCTGGACGCCCTCGTCGTGCTCCCACGGACCCACTGAAGCTCTTATCCACCCAGCCGAGCCACCAGGGAGCCTACACGCGTGACTTCATCACCGACGAGCACCGCCGAGCTGCCGACCGCCGTGGCCAACGCCCTGGAAAGCCCCGGCCGCCACCTAGACCCCACCGTCGCAGTCGCCATGGCGTGGGGAAACTTTTCCCCTCCTCAATTGGACACCAGTGCCGCTAGCAAGGATCACCGGGCGCTCGCCGCCGGCGGGAACACGCCGGGGAGGGAAGCAGGGGATTTCCCCTCGCTGGCCGCACACGTACATGCACCCGGAGCACGTAGACCATGCCAAAGGAAGGAAGGGTGGACTCGGTCCACCGAGGACCCAGTCTACGGTCCATGGACCATGAACACAGGTGGGGCCAGGTCAACAATCAACGTTGACCGGTCATGCGGGACCGTAGACTGGGTCCTCGTGACCCACGTGATAGATGGTGATGTCATGCGGGACCCACACGTCAGAAGCCGACACATCCGGGGTGACGTCATGATGATGTCACGGTGACATCATCTGCTGATGTCAGCAGACCTGGCCCACCTGTCTATGACTGTGATCCGATGACCGTTGACTCGCCATTGACTTAACGTTGACTTTGACCGGACCCACCTGTCAGTGACCCAAGAGCCTCTGGCCCCACCTGTCGGAATGGATGACGTTGATGACGTCATGCTGATGTCAGTTGGACCCCACCTGTCAGCTCAGAACCGAGATGCTGACGTCAGCATGCCACGTGGACCAGTCACAGTGTGACACGTGTCAGCCCAGGATTAATTCATCCTTTTTCATTTTCAAAAATGATTTAAACTTCAGAAATTCATAACTAATTCATATGACCTCGGAAAAATACGAAACCAGGACCAAAATTCATCTAAAATTAAGCTCTACGCAATGAACCCATGTTTGAGTGCATTTGGCTCTTTTGAATTTTCATTGCTTCTTTGTGCCATTCTATAGAAGTTGCTAACGCGACTATAATGCGATCGTTTGTAGACTCGGAGGAGAACCGGACGGACGAGGATCATGAGTACCGTGAGGAGTACGGAGACGACTACACTGAAGGTGCCATATCCCACCCAATTTCGTAGCACCTATTACGCATGACTAAAATAGAAATGCTAGTGCTTTATTTTATTGTTATGATCACACTATGATAGGACTTGCATTGTAGTATCCTTTCTTGATGACTTTTACCTTGACGCAACCTTACCCCTGCTCACCCTGCTGTTAGGCTAGTCACACGCTTGCTACTATATTTCATTGCTTATTACTTCTACTACGCTTGCACTACATTGATGCGTGGTGGAAACTGGTGTTATCTGGACTATGGGGAGAGTGCTGCGTGTGTGACTTGAGTACGTGGAGGGTGAGGGTTGTGTTGACTAAGTTGAAGTATACGACGAGCCTGGGGCAAGTCTTGCCATGGGGTGCTACTTGGGCACCCTTGGAATGGATACCTGTGGTGGGTAAATGGTATATGAGGTGGCCCTGGGTGTGAACCTGTGATGGGAGGAGCCCAGGGTGGAGGTGCTGTGGTGGCACGGTAAATGGAAACCCTGATGAAGACATTCTGGCTTGGTCATCTCCAAGGACTTACTAGTACTCAGATTCACCGGGAAGCCTTACGTACCACTCGCCCTATATGGTGCGGGACGGCCGGACTACTTGGTAGGATATTGCCACTACTGCTAGGTTGATAGCGGATAATGTAAGGAGGTACAGGGCACGGAGGATTTCCCCCACACCCTTTCGAGACTTTATAGAGACCTTGTGGACCTGGCTCATGACTCACAGTTTCAGCCACCCCAGACTAGACTTGGGGTGTACCAGGACTGAATGGTAGAGTGGCATTATCCTAGGCTAGCAAGCGGCCGGAATCCGCCTAGTTGACGATGGTCAGCGAGGAAGGCGGATCTTGTGGTTATGTAAAACATCTGCAAAGTGTATGGTTAATCGATCGATACATATGTCGACTTGTCGGCTATGGACCTTTTCTGGGTTTCGCTTAAACTAGATAGTGAGATGAGTCCTTCTCTTCTTCCCCTGGGAGTGAATGTTCGGATGTAGCCAGGGGCTATGGGCCTTGAGATAGTGCCGAGAGGGAGTTGGCCTGTCGACTGAGCGATGGTATGGTTGTGGTATGGTGATGGTGTGGAGATGATGGTATATCGATCCCAGGATCGAAACCTGGCTCTGGAATGGGAATGGGGTGGAATGGATGTGGAAATGGTGTTAAAACTTAACCAACTATTATTATGTACTTGATATGCTAATACATAGGAAACTCCAGCTTTATAGGTTTCTTTTGATTATATCCAACTTGCATCCAATTTTCACAAAGTAATGTTCATAGGGTGGGAGTGGCCAGTACAAATCGTACTGATAAATTTTGGCACACAGGTTCTGCTGAGGAGTATAGCTCCGAGGAGTTTGACGGTTGAGGGTTTCGTTCCTACGCTCGATTTTGACGATCTTATCTTCAAGCTGTTCTGAATGAATGCTACTTTTGATTCCGCCAATGCGGCGATGTAATAATTTATGTAATTCCGCACTATTTGTACTCTAATATTATCGTTGTATGAATGTGATATTCGACTGGAATTTGGGTAATATAATCTACAACGGTCTTATTACACTTCGACTCTGTAGATTTCCCTTCGCGGAAATCAGGTCGCTTCAGGTTGAAGGCGGCGCCTACAACACTGTAGGGCGAAGAGCACGTGCCTGCAACACTATTCAGGTTCTGCCACGCCTGGAAGGGTCTAAGCGCCCGTCCCGTCATATCCTGACGATACTTTCCTACAGGGGCGTAGGACATAGTCCTTCGATGTCGTGGTTGACCCGAACGTCTTGTCCTACCCTGTGCCTATCATCATGAGGGAGCGGGGTGCGGTTGTCAGGCGAGGCGGAGCCAGTCCTTGGACATCGGGCGAGGCGAGGTCCGTCAGGTGAGGCGGAGCCTAGCCTTCGGAGGTCAGGCGAGGTGGAGCCCAGCCCTCAGGGGTCGGGCGAGGCGGAGTCTATACCTCGGGGGTTAGGCGAGGCGGAGTCTAGCCCTTAGCCCTCGGGCGAGGTGGAGCCATCCTCCAGCCGTCGGGTGAGGCGAAACTGGCAGACGGGCGTTGGGCGAGGCGGAACCAAACTCTCGTCGTTCGGGCAAGAAGCGCAGCGGTGCTCTTGTCCGTTCGAAAGTCTTTAACGTTCGATGGTTATTAGTTCCACCTCGTTGGGTACCCGGTATTAGGTCCGACACCATTGTTGTCGACGAGTCCTACGGCTCGTTCCTGAACATCGGGATAGACGATCACGCAGCCATCTTTTCCTCCCGCACTAGCAAATGGACTAGATTGGAATCCCGCGAGCTGCGTAGTTTTTACCCGTTGTACAGTGACGGCGTGCGTGCTGGGCGGTTCTTGTACTGGCGATCCAACACGAAGAAAGAAAGATACCATAATCTCGTAGAGAGGATCCTGGTGTTGGACACGACCACCATGGAATGGTCTATCATCAATGCTCCATTCCCTTAGGGGAGTCCTACTGTGTGGCTGACATGCCGGAGCATGGCGGGCTGTGCCTCGTGTCCAGCAAGGAGCAATGCTTGCAGCCGCAACAGCATAGGTGAATGGGTGCTCATGAAAAACGTCTCTTTGTTGAATGACTGGATGAAGAAGATACGCCGTGATGAATGGATGAAAAGGCTGTGCATACTGGCAGTGAGAGCCAGCTATGTCTACATGGAATTCTGGTCAATAAGGAAGCCTAATTCCTACTTTCTTGTGTTTAATCTGAGAAACAGGAAGATGACAGTGTTCATTAACAACCCAGAAGACCCTCATAGAGGTCCTGCGTTTCCATTCTTCATGCGCTTGGAGCCTCTGCTTGGACCAGATGAGGGTCAGAATGTCCATCTTAACGGTGTTTGATGCAACTTAGTGGGTAATCTTCGATCTCTTCATTATCTTTGTTTTTTCTTCTGTTCTAATCTATTGATCATGCTATTTAAATATTAACATACATTTAGTCACTATATTAAATCTTTGTGAATTCCACAAATGTTGGTGTAAATATGTTTACTTCTTACAGGAGGCAAATTATATTTCCTAATACCTCACCCTTATGTAAACAAACTAGGCTGTTTAGTTTCTCTAATCGTGACTTTGTACCAAAATGACTGGGCTCAAGTTGTAGCTACTATCTTGAATTTTAAGTCATTGATAATGTTGGTAGATTTCAGTAAGAAATACTCTGTTGTTTGTCTTCAGTTCATTTTTCAAACTTATTGCAAATCTGATGCTCCAGTCAAACACAATAAATTTTCTAGGTGAGAATTAATTACTTCTTGATTATTCAAGTGCTATATGAGAAATAATTGGCTTTTGTTGTTAGTACACCGCCAGATAGATGGCTTCAGTCATTTGAAAGTTCAGCTTACAATCTGCCATTAGCTGCTACTTTATTCTCTGCAAATAGATGCACTTTAGTTCAGATGGCTTTCAGGAGATTAATCTATATGGAAGTTTAACTGTTAGTATTTGATCATAACTATCTGTCCTGTGATTTGAACTTTATATATTATGTCTAGTTATCTCGATGAAGTGTCCCTTGTTTTGTGTAAACAAAACATTTGTGCAAAATTCACCAAGTAAGGTCAACTGCTTAGTTTATGTTGACTCCTTCACTTTAGCATATGTTTAACCATGAGATCTTTCATCTTAATGTATTTAGTACTGAATGCTGATGCATTTTTGTATTGTGCGAGTTTCAGGTGGCCGTTGATTTGTTATATTTTGTGGTGGCATAGCTTTCTACAGGTACTTCAGCAATTCATAGTACTTGTGACCTTCACATTCTGATTCATAAACTGTAAATGATTCACTTTGCATGCTGCTCTGGCATAAACTAAAGTAACTCCCTTGCATTTCAGGTTAAGTTATTACTTCTAAGCTTTGCTAAGCCATCTAGATATCCTTTGGACATGGAACTGCTGCAGCTGGTTTAATAATTAAACCATCCATTCCTTCTGATATCTTTGGAACTTTCTCCAATTTTTACATGGAAGTGCAGCTATATTTGGATCCATATAAACTGGGGTTTTCAGCAATAGCTTTCATGTAATCTGGGATCAGTTATTTCCAATTTTATGAATTTAGTTAAACTTCTATGCGAACCTGGATGGGTTAATTTAATTTCAGTTTCATGTGTGCTACTTGTCTGTGAGGTTGCGACAACATAATTCAACTGAAATGCTCGATATATAATCCATTCTAGATGATGACCGTGCTGTAGTAGAGTACATGCTATTTATGCATCAGTTGCTTAACCTGTGTGTTTCGGTGCATCATTGAAGCACAAAACTGAACATCACGTTCAGCACCCTGAAACGAAGGTCTGTTTTTATCAGTCCCATGCATTGCCGCATTATTTCTTCAAGTTTGCCTTGCCAGCCTCTGATCACTCCATATTGTAATCACCCATGATTTAGCTGCCGAAAACATAATGCAATTATGTCATGCTGTTGGCCTCAATAGAAAGAATGAAAGATGGTTTGCCTTCAGAATTAGGGGCTTTGGCTGATTTTTGTTATTTTTCTTGTTGATTTCTATCATCAATAAAATATAGTTTGTTAGATTGTGCGCTTGGTCAAGACTAATGAGCAATGGTAAAATAACTAAGCTACACACTAGAACAAGGCACTACTTGAACAATGCACAAGAGCTACTCGACTACACTAATGATAGTTTAAATAGATAACAGGCGTGACTAAGCACTATGATTTCAGCGGATTAGAGATGATGTTTGGGAATCTTTGTAAAGTATATTCTTTGTGGGGGGACCATGCCATTTCTAAGCTGGACATGAAAGAAGAGTATGTTGATCGCTATAAACCAATGAAAGAGATAGACCAAACCAATTACCAGCACTATAGATGGGACTGCTCGAACTGTTCTTGATTTGATACTTACAGAGTTCAATGATTGATTTGGTGAAACAAATTCTAATTTGCTTTACTTGCATGGCTGCTTTTACTCAGAATACCACTGTCGTCTGTTTGGAAAGCTTACTCATTTTATTTATTTCTTGTTGCATATTAGACTAAGGATTGCAACCCTAATATACTTTATTCTGCAAGCTCGCACTTTTTCATGACATGGTGGGTGGGGGTTCAAGCGGGAAAAAAAAGGAAGGAAAACTGGTCCATCTCATGGGAAGACAGATTATTGGCAACTTGAATCTATTACTCGAATGTGTGGTCTACACCCATGGCAACCATAAATGGATCGCATCTCATGTCGACGCAAAGTTGGGAGTTGCCGGAGAAACGCAGATTATTCCATATCACAAACATTGTTCACTGGTACAAATCGGACAGACCGTTACAACTGCAAGAAATGTCACAAATCGGCACTGTTACATGGCAGAGTACATTCCAAAGGGCAACAATACATCACAAAATTGTGGTACAAGGGTCGCCAGCCGTGAGAAGCAAAATGGAGCTGAATATTGATGACCAAAAACAACTTCTTATCTAGCTAGCTTCCTCCACACGGTACGGCCACGGTTGATCTCGTCCCCATTGGCTGCAAATCTTAAGCAATGCAGGAACTGCTGCCGCTCCTCTTTGTGAGGCGCTGCAGAAGCAGAGCCGTTCATGCTTTTCTCCTCTCCTTCCTCTATGTAAGTAAGCGAATCAACTATGTCATCATGTTGACATTCTCTTCTATAGTCGAGAGTGATTGTTTGTAACTCGTGTGTATCAATTATATCTTGAGGTATACTCTGCAATTTGAAAGGTAGACAAAGAACTATTAGAAATCACCCCAAATCAACAAAGATGCTAATTTCCATCTAGAAGGAAAACAGTAATAGTAGGGAACTAGTCATTGCAAACTCTACTCAGATTAGATATCCCCACAAAAACCAAAGTTTCAAAAGTGGGATCAGAAGTAAGAAAAGTCTAGTAGAACACTTACTTCGAGGACCCAACCAATGTAAGTAACATTATTGACATGTTGGTTCATGTCCAGATCAGCTCTTCTTGGCTGCAGTTTGGAAATCAACGTCTGTCAGCACTGAAATAGTAGTATTGGTGCGCTAAGAACTGGATGATACACGAAGGGGAGAACTGACCACTAGTCCAAGTCTTGAATATTGTGCAGGATCTGAAAGATTCGGAATCTTCTTCAAACTTCCATTATTTTCCTCTGGGAATGCTAATCTGCACAACGATAACTTGTTACAACTCATAACTACAGTATGAGAATACCATGACAATCATTACACAAACTCAAAAACCAAAACAATTGCTGTTAGACTGTTATCCGTAAAAGTTGTTCAAGCTATTTCAAATATTCAGATTAACATTTCCCACAGCCCACGCGTCGCTCTCCCCTTAGGGGGCGACCCGGGCGGCTCTCCTACACCGCCGCCATCAGACCCGCCCTCGCGCCCCCTCTACCCGGCCGCCGCCGGAGCTCAACACCAGAGGTCCGGCAGAGGGCAAGGATGGCGGCGGCTGGGTTCTTCTTCCTCCCTCCCTCTCTCCCGTGGGACTCCTGTGCGGGCAGATCGGGCGTGTTCTTTGCGGGGGCGTCGGCTGGCGGTGCATCCGGCGCCTGGGCGGGTGGATCCGGCTTCCCCTCGCCTGGATCTGTCGTCCCCACGCGTTTTGCTGGAGTATCTTCGGTGGAGGTGTTCTGGCCTTCACCCGCGTCGATGATGGCGGGCCAGTAGACGGCGCCACCCTTGTCGGGCTTGGTGAGGCCAGGACCGGCGTGGGCACTACATCCACGTCGCTGGCGGCCGGATCCGCTGGTTTGGTGGCCGGTGCTGTGAGGATGGTGGCTAGTTAGGCGGCTGGGGCTTTTTCTTTCCCTGGCCCTCTCCTCCCTGCCCTGCCATCTTCCTTCTCCCTTGCTCTGGCCGGTGCCATGGTGGAGTTGGCCAGATCTGCTTGCTGTTGGCCAGTTTCGGCACGATCTGGTAGTGGGCAGCCTCTACGGCAGGCTTGTGGCGCTTCTGCTGGCCGGCAGGTGGCTGATGCTGCCTGTCGTCCTTTCTCGAGATAGCGGCGGGACCCTCGTGGCGGCTCCAGTCGTCGTGGTGGCTATGTGGAGGTAGGCTCCCTTGGCTCTCCGTGTCCGGTCCCCTGGACGGGTCGGGGATGTCTCCTTGTGTCTGCGCATGCAACGGGGACGCTCACAGCACGTGTGGTGGTGTCAGGTGTCGACGGGGACGCTCGCAGATCGCCACCGGCGCCTTTCTGCAAGGAAGTCCCCCCTGCGGTGGGCGATGGTGGGCCGCAGTGGACGGGTGGGAGGGATCGAGGCGAAAGCCTGGACGGCGACATCTGTGGACGCCGCTTCCTCTTGGAGGCGTCCTTTCCTCTTCTACCCAACTGGTTTTTGCGGGTGAAAACCTTCCTATGATGGGCTCATGACGTCGGCGTCTTTGACGTCATTTCCTTCCTGAAGGCATCGTGAGGCTTATTTCCAGCTCCGCTCTGCCGTTCCGCTCTTGTCATTTGGCCAGGGTGGTGCTCCAGGGTTGTGGCACCCTAGAGTTGTTATAGTTGTTATGTAGTGGAGTTGCTAGTTGGGTCGGGGTTTTTTTTTCGACCAAGTTGGCTCAGTTTAGCTGGGTCTCAGTTGAGTTGCTAGCTTAGTAGTTGTTGCTAGTTTTAGTAGTTATTGGCAAGTCGACTCGGTGTAGTATACCTGAGCAAGTAGTGGATGAAGTTGTTAGTTGTTCGGCGGTTGTGCCAAAGTTGGGTGGGATGAGTGATGCACTCTCCCTAATAGTGTAGTTTTTGGGCCCGGTTTCCACTCAAAAAACTGGGCCGACACTTGTTTTCTTTTTTTTCATCTAATAAAAATCACGGCAAAGCTTTTGCCGTCCCTTCTAAAAGAATATATATTCAGATTAGCATGCATTCATCCAATGAACTACAGGTAACAACACTTAAATGACCCAGCTGAGTGTAAAACTTCAAATAGACTTGGGTTCCAAAAGGGCAGAGAGCTACTTGGGCACTTTCGATGCATGGATTGTATGAAAATAACAAGAGTGCATGTCCATGCAGAATGTCGAGAACAAAAGTGAGTCGCTTTACCTTGGAGTCTTTGGACAATGTATAAACACCTCATCCCTCACGTCATCACTGACTCGCTGAAGTCTCCGTGTATTTTGGTTCATCATGACCCATTTGCTACAGAATAAGCAATATGACTCAGTTACTTGTACTGTACACCATGATAAAAGATATGCAAAAATTTGAACTAAAAGATAACAAATAAAGAATCTGATAGTCCCAACATTGCTGCACTGCTAAAGCAGCATAAATTGATCCCACTTCTCAAATATCAAGGAGGCTTTCAGTAGAGACAACAAGACAGATATGCCCAGCATATTCAAGTGAATGGTAAGTGCAACCGAGAGGAACATGCATGATAATATTGGCAGAAGTTTACGATTCACACCGATCACCTAAAGGTCTACACCACCCACCTAAGGAGGTGAGAATGACTTTTTCTTTTGCCAGGAGATAGAAATGGGTGTGAAAAGTGATGGCTAACATGCTATCAGACTAAAAAATATGACACAGTGACAGACAAATTCTAGGTCCTCCATTACACTCAAGAAGCACTCAGCAAGTACCTGGTAGCTCTGCCAATAACTTCACCATTAGCCAGGTCCTTGAGGATCCAATCACGACGAGTACCAATTCTTCCATCTTCTTGGCACCATGTTTCAATCTCAACAACATCACCCCTACCAGCAGCAGAGTTACTAGTCAGGATCGAATCTTACCAAAAAGGGAAAAAGTGAGGAAAAAAAGGTTCAATGTAAGCTTGAAAAACTACCAAGCTGGGTACTTGTAGATCTCAATGTGCATTCGGTTCGTCACCCAAATAAGTCCAAGTTTTCTCATTGTAGTAGTTGTGGCGAAGCCATCAGTGGAGAACCCAACACTTTGTGCATGGTTACATCCTACCTCCTGAATTTACGAAAATGCTTACCATTAGAGATATCGAAAATTACAGGGAATAATGAATAATAAAGATACACTCGTTTATAGTATATGCCTTATATAAATGGCAGTAATATTGTTACTTAAATCAGTTGATAAAATGGGTACACGTGGAGTTGCCCTTGTCCCATTCGGTGTGTTTTAAAACTTTAAACTTGGATCACAAACCAATTTCACCACCACTAACTCCAGCGATCTGAACCCTATATGAAACTTCATTTGTGCATGCCAAAGCAAACACATCCAGGAAATTGGTGACAGCAAGTCGGCGACAACCACCTGTTCTTCTCAGTAGTCAGCCCTCATGACTTAATTCGTAGTTGCCTACAGGCATAGGCATTGGCTATGAGATATTTCGGCACACTAATTCAAGGCTCTTATCGCTTCTCCCAGAGCTGAACAAGGAAAGTTGCACTAGGTTTTAGCATTGCAGTGCCCAATTTGTTGCATACTTGCATGCACACTAGGGGCTAATTTCTGTGAGCAACTTGTCACTTAGCAACACTAACAAGACCGGGACAGTTAGCATTTTAATCCACCAAACACGAACTAAGCTACACCCTAGCTCTAACTTAAGCAAAAGACATGGCACGGAATTGTGGAGTAACAATATTCCTCTTTCACAATTCGATCCTAGCACAGAAGAGGAGCTCCGATCGTACCACAAGTTTGGAGCGTTCTAAATTCAGATCCAGACATTCGACCTCTTGAATCCAGGCATAACCGGAATCCAATAAATAAGCTTCACGCCACAAATCTGGCCTCCGGAGAGCACAAATCCGGACTTTCGGAAGCAGAGACCCTACGGCGTCAGCTCGCGAGCGTACCTGGAGGAGATTGGCGATGGTCTCGACGGTGGCCGTCTTGTTGATGCCCACCTCGTAGCAGCGCACGATGAAGCTCTCCTTGTACGAGAGCCCGTCCTCCAGGAGGCTCCCCAGCCGCAGCCGCTCGGCCAGACTGGGCCGCGCGTCACCCCCTTCTGCCTTAGCCGCCGTTGCAGCCGCGTGGCCCGGCGACGCCGCCTCGATCCCGGGCACCTGCGGCACACCCCGCGCGCACCGCACCACCACCCCGGGCGCCGCCGCCGGAGGCGACTCCCGCCTTCCGTGGTGGCGCAGCGGGGCGCGGCCGCATTGCGGTGGCGTGTGGCAGCGCAGCATGCGGGGCGGGCGCGTCCCTTCGAGGAGGCTCGTTGGCCGGCCGCCGCCGCCGCCGCCGATGCGGGGTTTTGGTTTACACGGGCGGAGCGGGGTGGGGTTGGCGCGGCGGGCAGCCGGGCACTGCGTATAGTGGATATAAAGAGGGGGGCAGGGACGGTGGCGGGCGGTGGACCGGGCGCACGGGGCGATAGGAACGAGGAACGAGGAACGAGGAGGGGCTGGACGACGTGCTGGCAGTGGAGAACAGGAGGGAACGAGGAAGTCTCTGGACCCCGTGCATGCGGCGGTGGTGGACTGGTGGTCCACGACTCTACGGCGGTGGACCGGTGCTGAATATGTCGTCGCGCGTCGCGCCGACTGGATTGCGCGTGCGGCGTGCCAGTGTCAGCAAGTGTATAGCACGGATAGTGGAGAGAAAATTTGGTATCTGCCATTGGAACTTGGCTGGTGGTATTATCTATAGAAGCTTTTTTTTTTATATATAAGTGATTCTGTAGTCGAAAGTAATTTTCTCTAACTCTTTAGTATAAACTTTTGAAATTATGATGGAGAATCGCTCTATAGAATAGGAGAAGCTATTTTTTCCAGCTCTCAGCCTCCTGGTTCATTTTATAGAACCACCTCACGGAATCAGCAGAGAATCACTTCTCTCTGGAAAACTGTTTGGTAGAGCTCCTGCTGGATTCATCAGAGAATCAGCTCTGGGAGTTCTGTCAAATGGAGCCATAACACATTGGTACGTGTCATTGAAAGTTTAGATTTTGCATGATCGCCATTGAATTGTAATTTTTTACTCTTAAATGCCATCACCGTCACTTTGGACTCGTGAAGAGAGTAACGTCGTCAAAGCACAAGCAGAAGTACTCGTTATACACTTCTGCTCTTGATCTCGCTCTTCCTTCTCGCGAGCGCTCTCTCGGTCTCGGTCGTAAAAAATCTCCCAACCCCCAGGTGACTGGATCGAAGCCTTCCTCGGTGTTTGCCCTCCGCGTCGATCCTTGGCAAGAGCAGCTCCTCCGGTGGGCACGACCCCTCCGATGGGCACGGCCACCGACGATCGTGGCCCATCAGGCCGTCGCTGCCTCTCCGGCAGGCACGTCCCCGGTAGGCGCGGCCCCTCGGACGAGCGCGGCCTCCGCCGGCCGTGGCGGCCCTCCAACAGGCGCGGCTCCCTCAGACGAGCGCTATCATATTACTTGTGCATATTTTTAAATTAAATATGTGGGTTGAAGTGTTAATCTATTTTTTTGCTAGCGTCGAAAATACATGTAGTGGTACTGTCCAATATTGATCTATCTAGACAGTGTTCGGCTGGTACGAATCCGGCACAGTTCACGATGGAATTTACTGTTTATGCTGAAATTTTGTGAGAGAAAAATACTGCTCCGGCTGAAAAAGAAAAAAAAGCCAGCCAGCCAGCCGAACACTGCCCTAAGTGCTAATGGCATCAAAGGGGTATTTCTAATTTATTGGGTTACACAAGGGCAAAATGGTCATTTCCGTCATCATCTAACATCCACTTAACAGAATAGAGCTATCAATGGCATATAACAAGGAAAAAAATACAACTCAATGGCAATGAACCAAAATCGTGATTTTCAATGGCACATACAAAGATGTTATAATTTCCAATGGCAATGAACAAATTTTCTCTATAGATAATTAGAGATGGCAACGGGGCCGTTTCGGGTCATGTAGAGTCTCCGTCAACCTAAATCTAATATCATTCTCAGATGATAATTCGTCCTAGCTATCAAATTTAATGGTTTTTCAAACCCTAATTGGTTATTCGAAACCTAAAACCCACCACTATATGTCAATATAATAAAAGCAATAGAGAATTTCTAGCAACATACAAGATACATATATTACACACAAGAGACAACAAACAACACATAATTTCATGATTTAACTTAAAACAAATTTAATAACTTACAAAATGTATTAATGAAATATATATATATATATATATATATATATATTTTTTTTTATTCAAAAATGACTATTTTAGGTCTCTATTGGGCATCCGTGGGTGAAAACCAAAACCAAAACTGAATCCGACAAGTTTTGGGTACCTGAACCCAAAAACTATGGGGAAAATTGCACCCGTGGGACTCGAAACCGCCCTACTACCATTCTTACACAGGTACTCTCCCAAAATAAGTGCGTATTTTTTAACTTTGAGAAATCAATCAATCTTCAATTTAATTAGATTTATAGGAAATAGTGATAGCATCTGTATCTTTAAATATATTTACTATAAATACATATATGGCATGGTTAATCTAACTACGTTATTTTGTATTATAATGTTAGGATTAATTTGATAATATTTGATCAAATCTAAGATTGGTTGACTCGAAGTATGACATGTGTACTCCCTCCATTGTAAATTGAAAAATTGTTTTGTTTTTTAGATACATAGCTTTTTGCTATGTATTTAAATATTAATTATATTTATGTATATTGTAAAAAAACTATGTATTTTAAAAAGTCAAAATAATTTATATAATTAAAACAAAGAGAAAAACTGAAAGAATACTTTAGAGCACACTGCAGTAACAGTGCCAAGCCTCTCCTCCGCGGTTCACTGGTACAAAACGGACAGACCGTTACAAATTTACAACCGGAAGAAATGTTTCAAATCGGCACCGTTACATGGCAGAGTACATTCCAAAGGGCAACAATACATCACAAATTGTTGTACAAGGGCCGCCAGCCGTAAGCAGCAAAATGGAGCTCAATATTGATGACGAAAAAAACACTTTTTATCTAGCTAACTTCCTCCACACGGTACGGCCACGGTTGATCTCGTCCCCATTGGCTGCAAATCTCAAGCAATGCAGGAACTGCTGCCGCTCTTCTTTGTGAGGCGCTGCAGAAGCAGAACCGTTCATGCTTTTCTCCTCTCCTTCCTCTATGTTCGTAAGCGAATCAACTATGTCATCATATTGACATTCTCTCCTATAGTCGAGAGTGATTGTTTGTAACTCGTGTGTATCAATTATATCTTGCGGTATACTCTGCAATTTAGAAGGTAGACAAAGAACTATTAGAAACCATCGCAAATCAACAAAGATGCTAATTTCCATCTAGAAGGAAAACAGTAATAGTAAGCAACTAGTCATTGCAAACTCTACTCAGATTAGATATCCCCACAAAAACCAAAGTTTCAAAAGTGGGATCAAGAGTAAGAAAAGTCTAGTAGAACACTTACTTCGAGGACCCAACCAATGTAAGTAACATTATTGACATGTTGGTTCATGTCCAGATCAGCTCTTCTTGGCTGCAGTTTGGAAATCAATGTCTGTCAGCACTGAACTAGTAGTATTGGTGCGCTAAGAACTGGATGATACAAGAAGGGGAAACTGACCACTAGTCCAAGTCTTGAATATTGTGCAGGATCTGAAAGATTCGGAATCTTCTTCAAACTGCCATTATTTTCCTCTGGGAATGCTAATCTGCACAACAATGACTTGTTACAACTCTTATAACTACAGTATGGGAATACAGTGACAATCATTACACAAATCCAATAACCAAAACAATTGCTGTTAGACTGATTACTCGTAAAAGTTGTTCAGCCTATTTCAAATATTCAGATTAGCATGCATTCATCCAATGAACTACAGCTAGGGACATTTAAAATAGCCCAGCTGAGACTGTCTCCAACAAGAAACCCATATGGGCACCCAAATATAAAATGGGTAGCAAGAAACCTAAAATCAGCCTCCAACAGAGTACCTATACGGGAGACCTATTTTGGGTTGCCTGAGAGACATAACCAAAATATGGGCATCCTCTCTCCTAGAAACCGATTTGCAGAAATGATTCTCTTTTGGGTCTTCTTGTTGGAGAAGATGCCGAATAGGTATTGAACATTTTGCCTGTAGCATTGTCCAAAGAACGAATGGGTCTTGTATTTTGGGTGTTGTTGTTGGAGATAGCCTGAGTGTAAAACTTCAAAAGACTTGGGTTCCAAAAAGGCAGAGCTACTTGGGCACTTTTGATACATGGATTGTATGGAAATAACAAGAGTGCATGTCTATGTTGAGAACAAAAGTGAGTCGCTTTACCTTGGAGTCTTTGGACAATGTATAAACACCTCATCCCTCACGTCATCACCGACTCGCTGAAGTCTCCGTGTATTTTGGTTCATCGTGACCCACTTGCTACAGAATAAGCAATATGACTCAGTTACTTGTACTGTACACCGTGATAAAAGATATGCAAAAAATTGAACTAAAAGACAACAAAGAACGAATCTGATAGCCCAATACTGCTGCGCTGCTAAAGCAGCATAAACTGATCTCACTTCCTAAATATTGCTTTCAGTAGAGACAACAAGAACAGATATGCCCAGCATATTCAAGTGCAACCCAGAGGAACAGGTATGATAAAATTCACAGAAGTTTACGATTCACACCTATCACCTAAAGGTCTACATCACTCGCCTAACAAGGAGGTGGAATGATTTTTTTTTCTGTTTTTAAAAAAAAAAATTAGGTCCTACATTACACTCAAAGAAGCACTCAGCAAGTACCTGGTAGCTCTGCCAATAACTTCACCATTAGCCAGGTCCTTGAGGATCCAATCACGACGAGTACCAATTCTTCCATCTGCTTGGCACCATGTTTCGATCTCAACAACATCACCCCTACCAGCAACAGAGTTACCAGTCAGGATCAAATCTTACCAAAAAGGGGTCGGGGGGGCGAAGTGGAAATGAAAGTTCAATGTAAGCTTGAAAAACTACCAAGCTGGGTACTTGTAGATCTCAATGTGCATTCGGTTCGTCACCCAAATAAGTCCGAGTTTTCTCATTGAAGTGGTCGTGGCGAAGCCATCAGTGGAGAACCCAAGACTTTGTGCATGGCTGCATCCTACCTCCTGTATTTAAAAAAAATGCTTACCATTATAGATATTGAAAATTACAGGGAATAAAAAATAACTATACACTTGTTTATAGTATGCCTTATATAAATGGCAGTAATATTGATACTTAAGAATCAGTTGATAAAATGGGAACACGTAGTGTTACCCTTGTCCCATTTGGCGTGATTTTAACTTTTAAACTTGGATCATAAACCAATTCCACCACCACTAACTCCAGCGATCTGTACCCTATATGAAATTTTGTTTGTGCATGCCAAAGCAAGCACATCCAGGAAATTGGTGACGGTGACACCCACCCCATGTTCTTCTCAGTAGTGATGCCTATGAGATATTTCGGTACACTAATTCAAGGTTGTTATCACTTCTCCCAGGGCTGGCAGACAATTTAAGTTGCACTAGGTTTTAGCAATGCAGTTCCCAATTTGTTGCATGCACACTAGGGGCAAATTTCTGTGGGCGATTTGTCACTTTGCAACACGATCAAAAAAAGACCGGGACAGTTAGCAATTTAATCCACCAAACACGAACTAAGCTACACCCTAGCTCTAACTTAAGCAAAAGACATGGCACGGAATTGTGGAGTAACAATATTCCTCTTTCACAATTCGATCCTAGCACAGAAGAGGAGCTACGATTGTACCACAAGTTTGGAGAGTTCTAAATTCAGATCATCCAGAAATCCGACCTCTTGAATCCAGGCATAAGCCGAATCCAAAATTAGTTTCACACCACAAATCCGGACTTTCGGAAGCAGAGACGCCACGGCGCGAGCGTACCTGGAGGAGATTGGCGATGGTCTCGACGGTGGCCGTCTTGTTGATGCCCACCTCGTAGCAGCGCACGATGAAGCTCTCCTTGTACGAGAGCCCGTCCTCCAGGAGGCTCCCCAGCCGCAGCCGCTCGGCCAGGCTGGGCCGCGCGTCACCCCTTTCCGCTTTAGCCGCCGCCGCTGCCGTGGCAGCCGCGTGGCCTGGCGACGCCGCCTTGATCCCGGACACCTGCGGCGCACCCCGCGCGCACCGCACCACCACCCCGGGCGCCGCCGTCGGAGGCGATTCCCGCCTTCCGCGGTGGCGGAGTGGCGCGCGGCCGCATTGCGGTGGCGTGTGGCAGCGCAGCATGGCGGGCGGGCTTCGAGGAGGCTCGTTGGCTGGCCGCCGCTGATTCGGGGTCCTTTTTTTTTCGAATTACACAGAGGGGTTGGCGGTTGGCGCGACGGGCAGCCGGGCACTGCGAAATGGATATGAAGAGGGGGCCAGGGGCGGTGGCGGGCGGTGGACCGGGCGCACGGGGCGATACGAACGAGGACGTGCTGGCGTGAGGAAGAGAGGCTCCTTGTCCTATAATCTAGGAGTATAATTAACAGCGTCTGCAAGCCTTGAAAGCTGCATGTGCGAGACATGGCTCCTTGTCCTATGCGAGTATCTTGTGTGATAGAGACCCGACTAATTGTCACCGTACACTCCTCCGCGGCCTTCCGCAATTCATTTTTTTTCTTTTATTAATCGTATTTTACATGGACTCCTTGTCTAACTACTTTTCTTTCCAAACTAATATGAAAAGCAAATCGTTTGAAAATTTATCATTTATGTTCTATATGTATGTCGTGGTTCAACTCTGATCTGGAGCAGCCTGCAGCTGAGCGCCGAGCATGTTCCGGATCTCTTGATTTTTTATTTATATTCTTTTCAATTCTTTGTTTCTTAATTGCTCATTCTTTGATTTTTTTTTGTTCAGCAAACACCAAGCATGAGCTTAATATTTTTTTCTCACGCCTTTTGTACCATTTATTTAAATTTTTAGATAAAGAAAACAAATCCAGCTTTCATCTCTCGAGATCAATGGAATCAGATCAATTCTTATAATTATAAATTAAAAAAGCCACAGGTGTCCAAGTTCCAACTCATAATTTAATTCTAAAATTGCTTGGCCATCCAAAGGATGCAAAGAAATTCATTGCAGCTGCCTCTATTGCTCGAAGAACTTGCAAGATGCGTTATTGCTAAATAATTTAGAAATAACGGTTCAATTATTGTCTACACTACCCACTGGCGGAGCTGTTCAGCTGATGATTTCTGCGGCTAATAAGTCGGCTGAAACTGATTTGTTGTTAAAGAAAAATACTATTTCATAGCTGATAAATTCAAGCGAAGGATCATTGTATGACCTCCTTTTATCTATCTATGGCTTTATCCATCCTCTCTGCCACCGTGGGCACACGAAGGATCATTGTATGACCTCCTTTTATCTATCTATGGCTTTATTCTACACCATGGATGGTGATTCTACTGTGCTTCCTTAGGGTGGATCTTCTATTATATCAGCGGGTGGTGCTCCGCACGCCATATTTTTTAATCAGGGGAACCACCAGAATTTGTTGCCAAACTCTGCAATAAAGTACGGATTAAAAATTGCTTATTTTCTTTTTCAATTGAATGTTATTTGCTGGCTTTGCATCATCATCGATCTTTCAAGTTTCAAAATTTAATTAGTTGCCAAGATGCTTGAGCTGCACAATCTGTATAACGATTAAATCAAACTTTTGCTTGGCACAGCAAGTTGATTTCATTGGTGCCAGGGATTTGAAGCTTGATGCTTTTTGCGTGCAATAATTTCCCTCTATGTAGCATTATAAAATTACAACAATAACACGCGGGGTATTATCTAGTTTATGAAGCAAAGTGAACATAAATTAACTGAGGATGTATCAAAAAGGAAAAGGCAGAGCAATACCAAAACAAAAGGTACATGTTATAATTTTGTAGATGGGAAATTTAATATAAATTAATTGGCATGTTTACTTTAACATCCCTTGGTAAATAGTTGGTGGCATGGTCAATTGCAGATTTAAGGACCTTTTGGTCTAGTGGCGGAACCTACGATTTTTTTACTTGTGGTGGTAAAGCTGCAAATGTTTCGGAAATTGAAGTAGAGGTTCAGAGGAAGATGGCTCTGACTTAGACGAGTATGAGCAAGTTGTTGCCACGATTAAAGAGGATAAGGAAAATGAAGATTATCAAACATAATTATGGAATAAGATGTCTGATGCTTGGCTTAATAACTTAATGGTGTGCTACAGCTAAGGATGAAAATGGAACGGAAATATCCCGAACCGAACCGCATCGTTTTCTATATTTAATCCGATCGAATCCGCATTTTCTTGTCCGACTTTACCGTTTTCGCTTTCGCATTTGAGATGTTTCGTATTTCAAATGTAAAAGTAGAAAACGGTTTACACATTTTTCGACCGTTTTCTACTTTTCTACTTTTAATTTGAAATATTCCGAATTCAAAATTCGGTTTAAACCGAATTTGGCCACCTGCACAGGTCATATAGCCCAATTACAGGCTGTTCACCACGCAGCTGCGTTCTTTCTACTGGTGGCTAGCTGCCCTCTCTTATAGACGGCGCCTAGCCTCATCTCTCTTATTATGTATTTGGTCGTGCACTTGTTTAATGCTATGCACTTGAACTAGATCATGCACTTGTTAGTTGTGAACTTGTTATATATTTGATCGTGCACTTGTTTAATGCTATACACTGTGGGTCGGTATTTCGTATTGAATTTTCACATACCGACTGTGTTCGACATAATTCCGCTCGAATTGGTTCGTTTCCGAAATTCTAGATATTCTGTAAGTTTGTGTTCGTTTTCGTGTCTGGCTTGTCCGCTTTCGCTTTCGCTTTCGTATTTCAAATGTAAAAGTAGAAAACGGTTGAGGAGTTTTTCGACCGAGTTCGACCGTTTTCATCCTTAGCTACAGCCAGATATATCAATATATCTGATGCTTGGCTTAATGACTTAACGATGTGCAACATTGAGCGAGAGATATTCAAAGAAATTGATCTTGAGAAGATTTACAAATCATTTCAGAAAAAGAGAAAGATAGAAAAAAGCAAATACCTTGGTCGCCTAGACGCAACCGAAGTTTCATTGCCGTTCAGTTAGTCTTTTTACTTCACTTGTATTATATCTTTCTATTTATCCTAAATATTTTTACTTATATAGGAGACGATCACGACAACCTATATGTATCTAAAATAAATTTAATGACAAATTTTTGCTTTTTATATTATTGATTCTATCGTATCTTATTTTATTTATCCTTTGCCACTGAATATGGACGTATCCGGATCTATCTATAAATAGAGATGCTAGCGTCCCAATGTTCGGGCTAAGGACGTGTCCAGATGCATCTCCCACCAACCAACTGGCCTGTTTGGCAGGATTCACCATGGAAAAAGTGAATCTGAATTTAGGATTCACCGTGAATTTGATTTTGTATTCACCGTGGATTAGGTCCACCGAGAAAACTGTTTGGTAACACTGCAGCTCTAAATCCACGCAAGGACATTTTCGTTGGAATGGCCAGATTTGCCCTTGGCCTCAAGGTTTCTCTATCTCACTGCCACTCGGACCCACGTATCAGGAGGGGAAAACACACAACTTCTTCCACGAGCGCGCAGGGGACGACTCGAGCAGGGCGGCGCGGCCGGGGGAGGCGCTGCCTGGGGCAGCTGCGGCCGGGCGGGGAGGGGCCGGAGCTCGCAGGTAGCCGGGGGAGGGGCGCGCGGTGCCACCGAGAAGGGCTCAAGGGGCCAGCTATGGCGCGCGTGGCCAGGGGCTCGGCGGATCTCGCGCGGGCCGCCATGGCGAGGCACGGACGGACGGCGACAGGGGCAGGGTTGCGCGGGGCGGCCAGGCGCGGCTAGAGGTGGCATTGCCAGTCGCGGCTCGGCCGGACTCGGCCAGAGGCGGTGCTGCCAGTTGCGGCTCGGCAGGACTCGGCTGGAGGCGGCGCTGCCAGTCGCGGCCGGGACCAGGCGCAGCTCGGCCGGGGGCGACGCGGCTGCGGGCAGCGCGGCCGGGGATGGCCCGTGGAGGCACGGCGGTGGTCGCGACGAAGGAAGAGAAACGCGACGGAGGAAAAGAAGAAAGATTCAGTGGTGGTTAATTTCTCCCAAATTCACCAAACTGACTTTGGTGGAGCACCCGTGAAGAGATCCACCAAAACGTCCAGCCTCCACATCCACCATTTTGCTGAATCCGGATTTGTTGAATCCGGATTTCAAATGGGAAATTTTTGGTGAATCCAAGCTCGTGAATCCGAATCTGGTGAATCCGAATCCCTACAAATCAGGCCCTTAAACACTTTCACCAATCATGGGCTGGCGTCATGGCCCACCAACGGAGTTCGATCTCAGGCTACTCGCAGTAACAGAACAACGAAGCGGTACCCTGCGATGCCCGCATAACAGAGAAGGGGAGAGCACGCGCTCATGTCCACACCGCCATCCCCCGACATGCCCCTCCACCGGACCCTGTCGCGCCCCCTCCGCAGTCTGAGAAGGATGCAAGGTAGCAGAAAGATAAGGAGACCGAGACGAGGTAGCAGAAGGCGAGGAGAGAGATGCAACACCTGATCTACTTTTAAAACATTTAGATGCAACACTTGCGACATACGTATGAAGACAGATAAAACACTTAAAACATGTGTCTGAAACACTTGAAACCATTGTAAACATACGTAACATCTAGATAAAACGCTTGCAATATATGTGTGAAATATATGTAACATCCAGATAAACACTCTTGCAACATACGTCTGAAAAACAGATGAAACATTAGGAACAGACGTTTGCTACATATACAACCATTGCAACGTATGCAACATCTCGATCTAGTTTTGCAACATCCATATGAAACATTTGCAACATAACTCTAAAACATCTGTAACACTTGCAATAGACACTTGCAACATGCGCTTTCAAGCGCAACATCTACTTGCTGCTCACGAAATGGAGGCTCGTCGGTGTATAGAGTTCACCAGAGGCAGCCGCGCCGTCACCACCATCGACCAGTGCCACCATCGACTAGATCGACTCCGCCTACCATGAGGACGGCTGGGAGCCCTTCGTGGCCGCCGGTATCCTAGGCTCCATGTAGGGCACACAGTCCCCCGCAGCCCCTGCAGCTAGTGGCGTAGTCCCCACCACCACCGGATCTCTCGTCGGGCAGTGGATCTGGTGGAAGGATCAGCGATGCAGAGTGGGGCGGAACGCACGCGATGCGAGCGGGTTGGTCCATCCGCCCGCCCAGGTCTAATCATTATTGATTGATCTATAAATGCTGGAGGACAGATTTTGACGATGTCTCCTCGCCTTCTGACATACCTTCAGCGCTGGCCGACCTAAAAATCAACTAGACCCTACATCAAGCGATCTAACTCTTTATCGATGTGGTGACCTAATTAAGCGTTAACGGTCTCAACAGAAAAAAGAGCAGGCCACGATGTTAGGGCCCTGTCTCTACTCTAGACTCTAGGATGAGCGATGAACGTTTCAGCTTTCAAGTGCTGGAAATGTGCATTTTCAGGTGCTACCTGTCCATTAGGATTCCATTACGGTTGCTCTCTGTTTTCACTTTCTGTGTGGTAAGCATCTTCAGATGCTACCTGTTAGGCTGTTTGGCTGATTCTATCACATACTAGGGACATAATGGAGCTGTCAGATTTGCGATGAGCATTTACGTATACTCCATTACTCGACACCCCTCTTTATTCTGAACGTGCCGGACTTGATTGCTTGTCATTTTGTCAAGAATACGACGAAGAAGATCATATTACATTACATCTAGCCGATCAGATTCATGTCCTCCGTTTCCGTTTCCATGGGCATAGAATTCGGCCATCCACTCCATCTTGAACCGGGAATATATTCAGGAACACTGGATGAGAGGGTTGTGACAGAGATTGGTTGCCGGACAAGCACGGTTCAACATGGCCTTGAGCTGTCAGATCAACTTCCTTGCCGTGGGATTATTGATGACACCCACACCCAGCACCATAATGGCGCGTTACGTCCACTCCCCGCTCCCCACCGCGAACATGGTGGCTGGATGCTTTGCTCGGAATACCATGCCATGGCCACCCATTGTCGGAGCTCCGATCCTTCATCCTCTCATGAACGTACACTTGGGCTGAAGGGATATGCCCCTGCGTGTTTTGTTTCTTTCTGGTTTCTTATGGAGGAAATGGGGACTGGGTGCTGTCGTGGTTACTCGATCGTTAGCTATAGTGTAGATGCGTACTGCTAAACATCGGCTGTTCCTGTTCGGGCCCGGCCTGATCCATCGATGATGGAGCCTGCCTCTGTACTTCTGTTCTGTAGTGCTGAGAACTGCTCATTCGTCGGCAGAATTTTCGCACCTGTCTATCACTCTATCAGGATTCAGGGAGAGAAACGAGGCATGTGGTTCTGCTTCCACTCTCACCTGACTGATTAGTAGTACTATACTATGTACTAAAACTATTCAGAAACAGATTTTTCCCCCTCAAGTGCTCAGAAATCACTAGTGCTGCCCTCATGGAATCTCAGGCACAGTGGTCATTAATTATTGGTTACAGAAGAGCAAACACACAAGCTTGATAAAGCAGCTAATCTAATTGCTTGCTGACGACAAGGGTTACATCACTGAAAAAAAGGTAACGCTGCTTCAGGACTAATTAACACCGTATCAATCCTAGAACAATGTAGTAGACGATGAGCACGGGCAATGACGCCAGCGTCCCGAAGATGACCCTGCAAGATTTTCAGCACGGGAGTGCTGTCTCAGTTGCTGATGAGGCAAAAAAATATACGGAGTGCTGCTTTATTTTCAGCCGTCACCAAGCCATGTGTAATAGTAATAAATAAATAAACAAAGAAACTACTCACGCTGTGCTCAGCACGTCCGCGTGCAGGCCGTACTCCCTGGCGAACACGAACGTGGTGATGGACTGGGGAAGCGCGGCCTGCATGACGGCGAGGCGCAGGACGTCGCCGCGGAGGCCGAGAGCCCCGGCCCCGGCGGCGGTGGCAGCCGGCCCGGCCACGAACCGCAGTGCCATGCCGAGCACCGTCGGCCCGGCGCCGCAGACGATGATCTTCTCTTGCAGCGCCATGAACAGCCCTGCCACCACAGGATCAGACCATCAATTCAATATATAGACTCAGTGTTGTTGTACTGTGTGTTCTTATATATGACGCGGTTGCTATTAGTTCTCCGTACCAATGCTAAACATGGCGAGGCCAACGCCGGTCTTGGACATGACGAGCACGGAGCCCTGGATGATGCTCGGCGTCTCGATGTGCCACCTGCTGCGTCGATCAAGCACCACCGATCAACAACACAGACTAAACCAAAACGTTTGTTGCTGCTCAAGTGCAGCGTTGTGGAAACTCTGAATTGGGTGCCCAAGTGCGCACATGCATGGAAAAATGTTTGACGAATGCAAAATTTATGTCTCAAGTGGCACTGTGGCAGCTAGCAACATCGCTAACAAGTTCCGTTGCGTGGGCGCTGCACTGCAGGGGGCAGCACGCCTCTAGTGGCGTGTGGCTGTAACAGAGTAGAGGAAAAATTACAGCCCGGCGGCGAGCACAGGGAGACAGAGGCTAGTGCCGTTCCTGAAGAGAAACGAAGCAACGGAAAAGAACGGCCAGAATTAGCCGAGCTTCCACCTTTTTCAGTTTTTCAGCAACTGCTTGTTTGCACCAGACATTCCACCAACTTAATGCCAAAGTGGCTCCCTATTCTAAATATATGCATGACTGGACTATATCATTTATAGAGTAATATGTTTCAGATATTTCACTGATTGTTTCAATGTATGCTTAAATTAAATAGTAAGGCGGATGCTCAATCAAATCGATGTGCTTTAACTCCAAATTGATCTATTTTTGTACTATTGCTCCACTAACAAGAAGGCATTTGTTCCATTTTGCCCGGTTTTATTGGTGGTGTAGCATCCACTACACTACACAACGAATATCATTCGCTGTTTTTTTTCCTTCAAAATTCAACCCTGCTTGGAGTGGAGTAGCTATTTTATGACCTTTTATTCACCCATGCAAACTCTACTGCATTTAGGTACATATTTATCTACTCCCTCACTTCATAAAAGAATACAATTCTAGCATAGTATCAAATTAAAGTATCTAGAGTTTGTTTAGCTATAAAAAATATCAATATTTAAAATATCAAATAAGTATCATTAGATTTGTGATGAGATATATATTTTTATACCACACTTATTTGATGTCATAAACATTAATATTTTACTATATATTTGGTTAAACTTTAGCTAGACACATTAAAAAATACACCTAAAATTACATTCTTTTGTAAGCTACTAGTACAAGCAATGCACTGTGCGGACACTGTGCTACAGTGAGTTGCGATATGAGATCTTCGCGAGTTGCACAAGAAAGTAAAGCTAGTCGTCCAATAGATCTCTACAAATTTTAAGTCGATTTTGTTCCTACAAATTTGAAAAAAAAGTGTCTTCGACATCCACCGCAAATGAACTCGGGAAGCCTAGATTTCAATGGAAATGGCCGGAAGTTCTTTTAGAGCAGTGAGCAATCTCATGCACGTTTACATCAAAACGCAAATGGTGCATATGGAAAGGTGTGCCTGCGTAAATGACGCGAACCTGTTGGTGACGCAAGCCCACGAGACGCCAAGAATGCCTGCGTAGATGTTCGGGTTCCTCGCCACCTTCGTCCAGACCGCTCTGACCAGCGGCCAGAACGAGTGAACCGCCGTCTCGCCACCCACAGCGCCGCCGCGTTCGTCAACGTCACCTGCAGCTTCCTCCGCAACGGCCAGCTTGCCGGCGCGCCTGGCCTCAAACGCGAGCAGCAAAGCCGGGAAGTAGACGATGAACTGCACCACGGAGAGCTGCACGATGAGATCGCGCGCCGTACATGGCGTCCAGGAGCGGCACGCCCACGACGAGCGTGTTGTTGAGCGTGGCAAGCGAGAACCCCGTGATGCACCACGACAAGGCCCTGTCCTTGCCCTTGCCGCCGGCGCCGGCGCCGCCACGGCGCGCGGACGCGGATGCTGATGTTGCGGTGGCCCAGGCAGCGAGAGCGAGCGCGACGGCGAGCTTGGACAGCGCGTCAGCGGCCAGGACCCGGTAGCTGAGCGCGAAGGGGTCGATGCGCGAGGCGAAGTCGAAGGCGAAGAAGGGCACGGCGAAGTAGGCCACGAGGCGGTTTATGGCGTCGCACTGGTCCGGCGTGAACAGCTTCCACCACCGCACCGAGCCGTAACCGAGCCCCAGCGCGAAGTAGAGCGGCGCCATGGCCGCCACCACCTTGTACACGTCGCCCCACCCTATCATCATCTCCACGACTCCACCTACCCGCCGGCCTCCCGGCCCGCACCGGTACGGGGCTGGAGTATCTCGGTCTCACAGGCAGCTTACACACAAATGAGCTGCGGTCTGTTTGTGGGCGTCAGGTGCCGCCGTCCGCTTGTGTTTATATACAGGAGAGAGAGGGAGAGAGGTGGTGAGATGGAGGAAATGGAATGGTTACATTACAAGCATGGAGTGACAAGAATCAAAAGCAGGGATGAAAGCGACTTAAGTCCAAGTGAAGCAAAATATCATCCCAGCGACGCCCAACGCAGCTGCTTCTACTGCCTAGGATCAAGCCCACTGTGGCCCAAACATATGCGCATTAGGACGCCTGGTGCGGCTGCTCTGCCTGGTCTCATTGTCGCTCTGTGTCTCGCGTGCCGGATGGGCTATACTAACTGGGCCTTCAGGTTCTTCAGTTTCTCCCAATGCGTCCCATCATCAGTAGCATGTGTGAAAATATGGCACTGGTAAATAGGGCGTGATTGGTTTAGGGCATGTTTGGATGAAGCCCTGGGCTCAATTGCCTGGCTCAGCACTCTGCCTGTGACTTGCATGAGGTATGTTTGGTTGCAACCCTGATTTCAGCCTAAACAAACGTGTCGGCACGTCTGTTGCTAGCCGCTCGTGATTTTTTTTCCCCACACCCGAAGCGAGTAGCGACAATGTGCAAAAATGTATAATGTGGTTTCGTCATGTGCTCGGCAGAGACGTTGGTTAAGCCAACCACTGGTGTCCTGGTGATGAGCTTGTCTGCTGTCCAAAGCCAATTTTGATAGGCGAGCTCCAGTCGGGTGAGAATTTGCATCTTGCCCTTGGTGCGCCCGGACGTGCCAGATGAGTTGCTCCACGTCGGAGGTGATAGAGTCCATGAACTGTGCCTGGGTAACGCCGATAACGAGGTATATTCTTAATTCGTGGTTTGTAAGTTTGCACACAATGGATGGAGTCCGTGACGATTTGCAATTTTTTCCTAGTTGAACAATTCAGCCAACTGGCTTCATGGATACATCGCCATGATACTGAGGTCACCAATGTACGTGAGAATGGCTCCTCTCTACTGCACACTGATCCACTCTAATCAAATAGTTTGGGGCTGTTTTGGGCTATTACCATAATACCATGGGCCACACAATGATGTTGTCGTGGTGCAGGCCTGCATGAAGCATCGGGTCCATACACTTGTCGCGTCATTTTCTTGGGCCGTTATCTTGCTCAAGCGCTACTGAGGCCAAATACATTGATACACGTCAGCGGTATCATATTCCGTCTCAAGCAGTATCATGTAGGATTTTTTATGACGTGGAGAAGGATAGAGAGATGGAAGAGAAAAAAGGTCGTTGTTTCGTGAAACAACCGTTTCATGGCTAAAGTTATTGTTGTCATGTGACTTACAATTTTACTTTTATTCTATGTATAAATTAAGAAATTATGAGTTACTATGAGACAACTTAAAAGACAATCATTGTACATGTTGTTTATTAAATTGTCTTTAAATTACATAGCACTATATGAGATCGTCTAAGAGACAACACCAATACACTTGCTCAAACAGGCGAGACCACTGCAACGCAGAGCATGTCTTGCGTCAACCATTCAACCACTCATGTTCGGTTTGCGAGTCCAGCTTGCTGCATCAGCTCGTCTATCGTAATGCGGTTCGTGCAAGGGCAAGGCCTCATCACCACGCGTGTCGTCGTTCTCCACCATGGCCTGATCCAACCTCTTTAGCTAGGGTCCCACGCTGATGTTGTGAACCTGTCCAAGGGGCGACTACCTAAGGCCAATGGACGAAAAACTCGAAGCTCGTTAACTCGCTCGACTTGATACGATAACGAGCCGAGCCGAGGCGAGCCAAGATTTTAGCTCGTTTGCTATAACGAGCTAACTCGAGCTAGCTCGCAAGCCGCTCGTGAGCCAAATGAGCCACGCTTCTATAAAAAAACAATAGAACTTATATTGGTTTTGTATTACTTCATATCTTGCACTTTACAATTGTTTGATGATTGATATGGACCCTAAAAGCTTAGGATTATTATGACTTTATTATTTTGTTTTTAATGGATATATGGATACCCATGGACGCATTACGTATGGTATGGAGTATGGACATGGATGTATGGTATAATACTATAGTATATTATTATACTTGTATATATGTTAGCACATATTAATTTTTTGTTCGATTTAAGGTCGTTGGATGTGTTACTTTTGTATTATTATTATTATTATTATTATTATCAAGCTTTAGATAAATGTAAATATTATACTTTGTCTACTTTTTTATACCTATCTTACGAGCTTAACGAGCCAGCTCGAGCTCATAAACGCGAGTCGAGCTTTTTCTGGCTTGTTAAGATAATGAGTCGAGCCGAAACTCGAGGCTCGTTATCTTAACGAGCTAAAGCGAGCCGAGCTGGCTCGTTATCCAGCCCTACCTAAGGCCCTCCGTAATGATGCGGTGATGCAAAAAAAAAATTGAGTTCCACGTTTTATTACTGGCATTACTCTTTGGATGCCACAGTGGTGGGGCATCACTATCATCATTTCTAGGACCCATTGAGTAAAAATAAAGAAACACCGTGCACGAATAGGATGAACACCAGTACGAAGAGTAATGCGTCCAGCTGAGCATGCAAGGAGCTAATTCTTCTATACATAATAATAAAGAGATAAAATTTATCTTTATCTATTTTTTTGGTATGTCTCCCTCTAACTACCGGACAATTGAGAGTTTTTTTTCGTCCGGACTTATATGTATAACCCGTGCTCATACAAGTTAGAATAGCTCTTGTCTAGCATGATACGGAGTCCGATTTTAAAACGTATTGAGTTATGTATGTGACCCGGACTCATAAGTCGTGCTCATATGCCCGTCCATAATTTCTATTCTTATCCTTTTCTATTGGATTAGGATCCATATAGATATAGATTAAAGATATTATACATTACGAGTAAATATTTTTGTGCACAGCGTCGTGTTAGTGCTCGTTCTCGTTTTTTCAAAAAGAAAAAAACGGATCCATACAATCAGAAGAAGATGGGGCAAGTGTCGCAAGTCGCACGTGCTTGCCTGGAAGCGGATGGAGGCACGATCGACGTCAATCTGTGAACTCGTGGGCGTGGTGCGGCAAACAACGGCGGCCCGCCCGGAACCCGGTAGTGGCGGCGGCACCGGCAGACGACCGCGAGACCCCAAACAAAACTACTTCCCTCCGTACGAAGAGTCTTGAAAAAAACGCCTGGTCAAATTTGCTGCACTAAAAGTTCGGTGACAAGTAAATGGAGGGAAGTACAGCTGCAGCACTGCTCTGCTGCTCCTCCTGCCACCGCCGCTGCTGCTGCATTCCTTGGCCAATGTCGGCTCTCTCTGGACGCCGACATCGTGGCGCTGTCGGACTTGGCGGCGTGGCGTGGGGACTGCTTCGCGCATCTCACCTCATCGGTCGTTGCTATGGATCGGTCTCCTCTTGGACTAATAAAAACGCCGGTGTCGCCTCACGCCAAATCAGGAAGTCAAAATCAATATTTACCTTCAAGATGGAGCTTTTAATCAAGCAACAGGGATGGCAGCATGGGGCTTTGTGGTCCGTGATTCTACCGGTGAGGCGGTCCTGGCAGGTGCGGGCAAGGTTGCAGACATTTCTAACGCTCTCATGGCCGAAACCACAGCCTGTTGGACAACCATCGATGCGGCAGTCTCTGTTGGTATTTCAAAGATACAATTGGAGACTGATTCCCTTCTTCTCCAGAAAGCGGTGCTCTCAGATGAAATGGACCAGGCACCAGCAGGTGTCATCTTCCAGGATATCCGTAGGGTGATCAGAGAGTTTTTCTTGCATTTTGAATGTTCATATGTTCCTCGTCTTTGTAACTCGTCTGCGCAAGAGATAGCCGCTTTAGGCATGAGTTGAGGTGTGGGGATGTCAGAGGTATGGGAATACCCGGTCCCTATCTTTGTACAAAACTGGGTGGCACGTGATCTTGCGTAGCCTGCTTTTAATTAAAGGGCTGAGAGCTGAAGTTTCAAAAAAAAAAAACAGGACATCAAAATCAAAAAGGCCAAAAGGAAACAACAACGTTGATCACGGTGCACAGCTCGACATCTTCCCTCCCCGGCAGACAACAACGCCCACAGGCCACCGTCCAGACATCATCAATCAAGTGCAGGAAGTCAGACGTTTATAGTCAGAATCTCTATTAATGGACGGGACAAACCAAATTAACAAAAGTAAATACTACCATGTGTGTATATATATATACAATTAATAAATGTTTTCAAATATAACATAAATAATTTGTTAACTACGTCTTTTTATCTTCTTAATTAAAAAACAGGTGACCAAAGTGAATCCAATTCACTTACCCAAGTCATCGATCCAAAAGAATGTAAAAGACAAAGAGACAGAGAGCACGATGTGCAGCCATGAGTAAAGAGCAACGGAATGAAATAAATATATATAGTAGGAAGTGACGTGCAACAATAACTGAAGAGCAAAGAAGTGAAGTTAATTGGAAGCGACGATGAAGCATATCATCGAAAAAGACCAAGAATCCAAAGGTACTTAATGTATATGTAGAAGCGTAAAAAAGCGAATCCAAAGGTACATAATGTATACTAGAAGCCTAAAAAAGATATGTATCTAAAAAAAAAGTCCGAACAACTTACGATTTGGGACAATTAGAGTATTTTAATTCGTAATAGACTTAATAGGATATTGTCATATTATTAGCAATATTAACTTTATTATAGATATCATGATCATCACAAAATAAATTATAGCCATTAAAATTTATGAAAAAAGGTAAAATACAAATTGATATATAACATTTTTGTGCTTATTTCCTATAACGTCAAATAGTTTTTTCTTCTTCTATTGCAACGCACGGGTATATTTGCTAGTATTTTATTAAGCAAGCACCGGCGTAACTACTTGCACCGCTCCAAGTTTTCCTGCATTGTGGGGAGCGGTGCCCAAGTCTTTTCTCTCCTTCTCTGGCTTGCCGACGGCCTAATAGGCCCACACTAGGAGGGGCGTAGCCGCTGGCAGCCCTGAATGCATGTAAAATGTTGCATTGCGTCATTCAATGAAACAGAGTGATCATGCGGATCCTCCACCCTTGGCAATCCATCGCTGCGGACCGCTCGCGTGGTGGATCAAACTCTTGTCACTTCGTCAAATACGAATTTCTCATCACCTTGCCTTCACCTGAGTACCTGACCACATGCCTTCGTTTGGCGTCCGCTAGTCGGTGCTCTGTGTAGGACCGTGCTTTGACAAAGTGACAACGTAGAGAACTTAATAAGGGGAAGGATTCGATAAGGTTGAGAGTTTGGTTTAGAGAAGGGCCACGCTAAGCTAGGTATAGCACATAATTTTGTGGGGTTCGTGAGAGTTGGGCTGGTATGCTACGTTCGAAGGATTGGATGACCCATTATAGGCCTTTGAGTAAACCATTCTCCATGGGACTAGAGGGGATTGTGAATGTTTTGTCTGAACAAGCTCTATGGGAGTTTGTGGCCTATTTGCATGAGGGTTTGCACGTTCCTTTCTTCCTTTTGTCTCGTTATTTACATTTCCTTCATCTTCTTACTTTTTTTCCTTTCCATTTCCTTTCCCTCTTTCTTTCCATGTTCTTTTCCTTTATTCTTCCCACTTTCCCCCTCTAATCCTCTTGACGAAATATTCTCTCCACTTCACAATTCTCTTTTTTTGCAATTTTATATTTGTTATTACAAACATACAATGTTATCAATAAAATAGCGTTCCAGTTTGATGTTTCCACAAATATCACAAGAAAAATGTTCCAACTCAAAAGAAGTTGTACCCTAAATATAATATTTTTACAAATATATTTGTGTGTTCATCAAATGTAATTTTAGAATGTTATAGTTGATAAGAAAAATATTATAGCTTAAATAAATAAATAATTCTAAGGATTTTTTGTGATTTGTTCCATAAAACCTAAATTTAAAAGTAGCCTTGCGATAAACTTCTAAGCATAAAAAGAGTTCTAATAGAATAAATGTTCTAAGCACAAAGGAAGGCATTCCAAATAAAAAGGCAAATATTCTAAGGAAAAATATTCTAATCAAAATATCAAATTTGATCATAAAAATATTTTGATTAAAAAATAAATTATTCTTAGCACTAAGGAAAAATGTTCCAAAGAAAGGAAAAATATATAAGAAAGAAAAGAGTGTTTTGAGTAAAGAAACTAATGTTGTAAGCATAAAAAAATGTTCCGATCAACATATGAATTGTTCACAATATAAGTAAAATGTTCCGAACAAACAAAAAAGTTCTAAGTATGAAAAAGTTTGAGGAAAAAAAAACTATGTAGAGAAAAATAAAATATTCTAATTCTAACAAAAATAAAAAATGTTTTATGCACCTAGCCTAGGGAGAAGATAGCTGTTCGCCAAAACCTTGTGTCTTTACCAAAGTGCCTTGGGATACAATCTCAGGATATAACGGAAATCTTTAAGAAACTAGTCTAATAGAGGGGTAATATCGTACAGATACATGTATGGGCGAAGTCAACGGTCAGCCCAGTATAATTACTCCTTCCATAGCAGCCTTTTGGAATTCTCTCCTAATAGACAGGACAAGCATGCGACGTATGATCGAGATGCCTTCCAATAAGCTTGCGTGCATAATATACTTATCTAATCGAGATGCCTTCAAATAATTACAAGGTCTAAACAAGTCAACATTAGCACTACAGGTCCGTTAGATACTACTACATGCTAAGTGAGTATAACAAGGGTTTGTTTGATACTCCAACAGAAAAAGATGTCAAGCTGCCTTCCAATAAGCTTGAACTTGCTAGCTGAGCAGAACAAGGGCTTGTAGAAAATTCAACAGTCTGACAACGTCTAATTGAGAGTCCTCCCACGAAGCTCAGGTACATGAAACCTATCAGCATCAAGTCCACCATGATACCAATATGGCTCTGGCACAGGCCACCTGTCATCGAATATAATGTTTCAATGTAAGTCCCTTGTTGAATGATAGTCCAAGCTACTAGAAACAAGTGGGAATGAGGAACCAGAAAGAACAAGTACCTGTTTTCCTTTGTCCTCACACGGACTGGTATGGGTACAGAGTGGCCATATCCCCTGTCATGAACATATTGTTTTCAATGTAAGTTCATATATTAAGTAACATGCCTGCCAATTAGAATCAAGATATAACAGGAAAAGGAACACATACCATTCCAACGGTAAATCATTCACTAAGCTTATAACTTCAACAATCTTCTGCCTTGGCAGAAAAGGAGTAAGACCTCTACCATCATAAAAGTTCATGCCAACAAACCTCCCATCAAAGTTAATAAGAGGACCTCCAATCCCAGCCTAGTACAGAAAAAGGTGCAATATTACTGGAGAAGTTGTAATTCCTGAGAGTGAATGTATTGCGAAAACAGAGAACCAAATACATTCTAATGCAATTATCTATACGGACTACCATGTAATAAAACAGTAAAAAAAATATGCCACAGTACCTTGTTCATTTTACAATTGGAAAACTTGAGATCTTTGCAATCGAGTTTGCTATCCTTGTTACTACGCTTCACTTCACCAAGTGAGGCCATCAATGGTCCATGTAAAGTGTCACGGCCTATAGCTACTACTTTTTTCAGATGGATTTTGCACTACTCTACAGAAGATGTCTTCTGCACAAACAGCATGGAAGTTCTTGACACTGACAATAGCAATATTGTAGTTCAAATTATAGAGTTCCAATGTCCCACTGCCACGTTGATTCGGTGGGAGAAACACCTCAATCTGTAATGATAACGTGAGCTCATCTAATCATCATATATATAACTTAAAAGACCAAGACAAATGATACGGAGCACCAACCTTCAAGGTATTATCAATTTTGTCATCATCATGACTTCTAACCAAACTGGCTGAAGTCAGGATTACAGTGCGTGCAGCTTTGCTTCCATGCCTCTTTAACTTTATAAATAAGCCTTTGCATGCAAAAGACCTCACATACCCTACACATTACAGCTTTAATCATTAGTTAGTGAACATAAAATACTAGTACAGAAAAGTAATGAGAGCATTCTGCAGCAAAATCACCTTTGAATGAAGCAAGGGAGACAACACGACGAGATATATCTCTCACAACCTTTTTCTCAAGTCGCTGCCAGACACGTTCCATTGAGACAGTGTCTGGATCACCATAAGGATACCCTTTCCAAGCAAGTAATCGACCAAACCTTTCTTCAAATCCATTAAGCAAACCCTCATTAACTGGTTAAAAAACCATCAGAAGTTAACTATAAAAGTGCCATAAGTTTTCGGAAAAAAAAACTATAAAAGTGCCAAGGGAGATGACAGCAATATCAAAAGAAACAACTTACATTCAAGCACAAGTGGTGGCGGAATGGGATAGCCACAGGCTCTTATCCGGTAAAAAGTTTTCATAAACCCTGATGCAATAAGGAGATCTCTATTAGTATTCAGACAGGAAGAAATACCCAATATCCTGCTGGAACAAGATAATATATGTAACATTCACTTAATATTATGTGGACAATGATCAATAGCTAACAGTAAGAATGATGGTTTGCATGATTGTTCAAAACTGAAGGGACTATGCTTTGCACACCTTTAGGTAATGAATACCCACGTAAGTCAAGTTTTTCAGGACTGCAATAGAAGACATCAGACTTGTTATGATACAAAAAAAACTAATGCACAGGAACTAGCCTGACAACAAAAAACAGTTGTACCAACACAGGAAATGATTTTTATGTAAGGAACCAAAGGTACAAAGAAAAGGACTATGAAGTCAGGATAATAAATATTCAATAGGAGACATGAGAAGAGTCAGCAGATTCATATAAGTTGCCCGGTCCATATTGCAAGAATGTATAGTTTTAAGTTTAAAACCTTCCTCATTTAGATAAATAGTACATTAACCTTGTGCACTAATTTAGTACAGAAAAAATGTGGCAGTGCTGCTGGTAAAGGTAGGGTTAGAAATAACCAAATCGTTTTCAATCCAAAGATTACTATGAACTACTGAACTCTGAAGGCTCCAATGCTGCTATTATCAAAAGATGTGTCAAAACTCCGAAGGCCCCAATGCAGCTAGTAACAAATATGGCTTACCATACACGACGAAGTCCTGGGTTTTTCGAACAAGAAGCTAACTGGGAAAGAAACATTTCAAATACTGTAAGTGTAAGAAGACATACTTGAGTATCTGAAAATGCTTCAAGCGATCACAGAGTAATCCCAATGGTAGGAAAGAGTATCCCACAATCCCATCACCTCGATCATAAACATCAACGTTCATCCCAATAAATCTCCCGTCCTTCCCCAGAAGTGGCCCTCCAAGTACAGCCTATAGTAACATAAGAAATATGGTGGGTTTTATAAAGAAAAAATGCGTTTTCATAATGCCATCATTTATTCCAAATTCTCCATCATGCCAAAAAAAGTAGCAAAGAGATCAACAGCATACGATAGACGTATATTGACTCTCAGGAACCCACGTGTTAACACATTTCATATACAGAGAGCCGTGCATGGTCATCAAAGAGCCTGACTCATAGGCACGCCCAGCAGCTAGTAGACTTTCATCGTCAGGACAGGTATATGTTTCCTTAAAATAATTCACATCTATAGGATGGACATCCAGGAAGCCCAAGCATGTGACAATAGCAATATCATCATCATATAGTCCCAAGAACCCATTAGTAATTGTATTATCAGCAAGGCGCACTGCAACCTGATAAAACAGTACATCAGCATAGAATGGCCAGAAAAAGCCTGAATAAAACAAAGCAAAATGGAAGATACAATGAAACCTAAATAAATAAACAAAAGCGAAAATGGAGGACGATGTTTAGACAAACACCAACCCTCAATTTATCATCTCTATTTCTGTAATCCTTGAATGCTCTAACCAAATGTGCTGAAGTCGCAAATCTTGTTAGGTGTACTCTAGCTGCCCCACGTGGCAGAGGTATGCCCGAGCACACAAATAACATCTTATCTCCTGGACAAGATCATGATTTAAATAATCAACAAGTGACAACTAAATACAAATTATAAATTAGGAAAATTCATGAGCATCAGCACAATCACCATCAAACAAAGCAAGGGAGATCACAATGGAGGACAAATCAACATTATTAGCACTGGACTTCACCGAATGGAATCTCTTCAAAAGCTGAAACTTCTCTATCACAAAGAACTTCACCGAATCGTTCCTCATCAATAGCGCACTGATTCTTCTCAAAATTAGCTCTTGCCAATGCACTCTCATAATCTGATGAAACAACATGATAGGACACAACTATATGAGTAATTTATTAGAGCAACATGTGCCAGAAAAGGAAGAATCAGCAAATTCAAAATCAATGACTCACGTATCATCCACCGTTTTGTGAGACGTCTTTCTTCGCGGCTCATGCGTTCCTTGCCATCACCGCCACTTGAAAGCAACGAGGATTCAAGTTTATTCCTTCTATTTATGGCTCTCTGCTCCCTACTAACACCTCTCGTGTAATCAGTATGCCCCTTGTTTCTCAGGATTTTTGCAGTCCTAACACAGAAAGTAAATACAAATGCTTAGTGGAGCAAATAAGGCCATGCAGTAATGTTCGATCATAATGCACCAACACCAATTGGAATTGGAAAACTAAAATATTAAAGTACATTACTACCTAATAACCTTTTATATTCAGGTTCACTGATAGTATCAACAATTATAATACTACAAAGCACAAATGTGCTCAATCGAATTAATTTGAATCTTTGCATATGTATAAATATAAAAAGCTCCAGTTTACCCTAATCTTTGGTGTATGGAAAATCAGTTTGTAGTAGGTCAGTAGCAGCTGGTTGACATTGCTAGAGAGGGCGGAACACAAAAGACTCAAAATCAGCAGAATCAAATTCAACAAACAGGATAGAAGATGGATCCAGTGGGCAAGCCCAACATTATTGAATTGGCTACATGTATACATGGTTTAACTAAAAAAGAAGTCGGAATATAATAAGAAAGAGGCCTAGTATATGTATGGATGTAACCTTAAATGTTAATACACAGATTGAAATAGAGCCCCATGAAAAATCAGTGCGATGGATTTCAAAAGGCACCTTCATTTTACTTGGGTAAAAAAAATATACTTGTTCGAATCAATCCATATCTAACTCAAGTTAGTTGCAGAATTGAAAACTCGATTCGAATTACTAGGTGAACAGCTACAACTAAAGCAGTAAGGAAATGAGTTAATAGACATTACATCGCAAGAACTTAGTGTATTGATCTCCAAACGAGCCTATTACATCCCTTGTTGTTTAGTTGATCTCCACCATTTTGACCCTTGTTCTCTGCTCCTTGATCGGGAGCCCAACCAAAGCATGCAAAAAGGTAAGATGGGGATCAAGGCTCGTACTACGAGAGGTTCAACGGAGCCGCCGCCATCCCACCCAAGTAAACCTAAACCGATCAAAGTAGTGTTTGCCGCTTCTTTGCGTTCTTCACCAGCCGCCATCGACTTCATCTCCACCGTGCTTGGAGGCCTACTACACCGCTGCACACCGCAAGGCCCCATGAGGCTACATCAAGGTGTGCAGAGGAACCCAAAGCAGAGGTTCTACCCGGTTCTCTGATTTACAGAGGTAATCTATCTGATCCTAACATTGGTACCAGAGCCAAAGTTGCAGCAGCAGTAACCCTAACCCTAATCGGGTAAAAGAAACGGAAAAGGGACCGGGGGTGGCGGACGTCACTAGAACCCCGGTCACCACCGCCACCTCGCGGGGAAAAGTGCCGATGCGGCAAGAAAAGAAAAGAGTTCCTTACGGATCTAAATAGAGAAGGGGTTCACTAACCCTAAACTAAAAGCCTTCAACGGGAGAAAACAAGAGAAAGAAGAAGAAGAGTGGGTTCGGATTTGGCCGAAACCTAAGACCTAACCTAATTTTAACCCCATCCCAAATCGGGTTGATCCCAAAAGAAGAAGGGGAAGGGGGAAGAAGGGGAAGGAATTAGTCTCGGGGAAGAACAGTGAACCCAAGCATCTCGATCTCAAATCAAAACAAATCGGGTTCAACCGAACCCAAACCCTAACTCACATGGAGAAAGGAAAAAGGGGAAAACCATTCGGATGAACTCCGAAAAAAAAGAAATCAAAAGAAAATGAAACCTACCCCAATCGGTTGAATCCATAGAAAAGCAAGCGATTCAAAAAAGAAAAGAAAGAAGATTCAAAAGCAAATCGAGAAAGGGAAGGTCGGATTCGATCCCTAACCCTAGAACAAACCCCAATCCTCATCACCGGTTCGGATAAGAGAAAAGAAATCCAAATCGGAGAAGGGAAGAGGAACGGACTACCTAAAGAGCCGCCGATGATGGCCTTCACCGCGCGGGAGAAGAAGGGCTGCCGGGGGCAGCTACTCACTGCTTCAAAGATACCGGCATGCTCACCCGTTAGAACATCTGGCGAAACGCGCGAGGATACGGCGCCATGGATGCCTCGATAAAGGAGTGGTGATCGCGCTCGAAGCTCATGAAGAGAGGTGAGAGAGAAAGGAACTGAAGAAGGCGATGATGGTGAAGAGAGAGAGAGAAGGCTGAAGAGGGTTTTTCGGCCGACGTCGGTCGTCGAAAAATTATGGCACTGCTGCGATCCGATCGCTATTTCGGATCAGGAGAATAAGAAAGACTAGTTAAGAATGACATTCTTTCTCCATTAGAGCCTCAGTTTAGAGATTTAAAAAGCAATGCAGAGCAAATGGCATAAGGGAGATGGGCGAAAAATTTTACCGTATGAATGCATAGTAAGAAATGATTTAGTTTTTTCTTTTTCCAAAGAAATATTTATTTCGAAAATGAAAAATAGCTCAAAAGAAAATAGAAAAAGTAAATTTTCCTATGGGTAAAATTTATAAATGAATAGTAAAGTTTTTCACGCCAAAGAAATTGTTTATCCTCCAGTTAATTTGTACCAACATGATATTTAATTGGAGAAAAAGAAAGTTTTTTCGCTGCTAAAGAAAATATTTATTCTCTAGTTATTTGAACCAATGTGATATTTAATTGGAGAAAAAGAGTTTTGACATGATTATGATGTTGTTATTTTCTGACCAATGTTGTTAATAACAATATCATAATTTTAATGATTAATGCATTAATTCTACTTCTGCCCAACGGTGATGTGGAATTAGTGTATAAGAACAGTTGTAAAATTTTAATGATTTATGCATTAATTCTATTTCTACCCAACGGTGATGTAGAATTAGTATGTAAGAACAATTGTGAATTTTAATGATTTTATACATTAATTCTATTTCTGCCCAACGGTGATGTAGAATTAGTGTATACGAACAGTTGTATGTTTTGATTTTGACCAACGTTGGAATCAAAGCATGCAAATAGTGTTATTTTTATGTTAAGAAAATGTTTGACCTGGTTTTCATCTTGACTGAGGTAGACTGGGTAGTCACCTCACCGTGTCCCACTAAGTATGTGGTACCGGTGAGGGAGACAAAAGAGAATGATGCCGATTATGCAACTAAAGAAAGGGATTTTGAATCCCAAAAGATGTCATATGATTTTGAGCATAGGAAGTGGGTCACTGCCAACATGAAATGTTTAGCTGTAATAAAGAACACGATTGAACCTGTAATTGTGGACTCAATCCTAGAGTGTGACACGGTCACCGAGTACCTCGATAGAATAAAGAGTCAGTTAACTGGCTCTTCAAAGATATATGCTACCCAGCTGATAAAGCAGCTGGTGACAGAGAGTTACTCTAGAAATGATGGCATAAGAGAGCTCAAGATGCGTCGTCGAAATTATGGCACTGTCGTTCAGGCCATATTTCGAGGAGGAGAATAGAAAGACTAGTTAAGAATGACATTCTTTCTCCATTAGAGCTCTCAGATTTAGAGATTTAAAAACAATGCAGAGAATGCATAAAAGAAAAAGTATGTAAAGAAAGATGACAAACGAAGCGCAGGAATTTTATAGATTATTCACACAGACATCTGTGGTTATTTTCCTGTAAAGAGTGTGGATGGTTATGATTCGTTCATAACATTCACAAATGATTACTCCCATTATGGCTATATTTATCCAATAAAAAAACAGAAGCATTGGATAAATTTAAGATATTAAAGATTAAGATAGTCAGGTCTGACCGTGGGGGAGTATTACGGTCGGCATACCCTAAAAGAATGGCATAGCAGCCCAGTATTCTACACCGGATAAACCTCAGCAGAATAGAGTAGGTAAAAGAATCAATCATACCCTGATGGATATGGTATGCAGTATGATAAGTTACTCCACCTTACAGTTGAGCCTGTGGATGGTGGCGTTAAAGCTGCCATTCATATTCTCAATAGAGTATCAAGAAAGTCGGTGCCCAAAACACCGTATGAGCTGTGGATAGAAAGAGTACCCTTACTAAACCACTTGCGTGTGTGTGGGGGAGCCCTACTGAGGCTAAAGTATTTTAACCCAAACATTGGGAAGTTAGATTTCAAAATAGTAAGTTGCCATTTGTTTGGCTACCTAGAAAAGTTAAAAGGTTTTCGTTTTCTAGTGTCCAGAGAGACATACAAAGTTGTGGAAATGAGACACGCTGTCTTCCTAGACGATAAATTGTTGAGGGGGAGCATGGTAGCTCGAGAAATTGACCTTGAAGTGAAGCGGGTGTATGCGCCCACTCCAATGATTTATGAGCCATTTTTCTCACTACCTGTTGTCGCTGCACCGATAGTGCAAGACACTATGGTGCCATCACCTGTTGTTATCCCACCTGTGGCAACAATGAATGACGATGAGGAACATGTTCTTCAGGATCCTATAGAACCTATTGCCACACACGAGGAGGAGCAACAACAGCCTCAAACAGAACATGTGCCAAATGTAAAGGCCCCTAGAAGGTCTCAAAGAGTTAGAAAATTAGTTATTTCTGCTGATTATGAAGTGTACAACACTGAGGAATTTCAAATGGAGGATGATCCCACCTCATTTGAAGAAGCCACGAAAAGTGTTCATTCATCAAAGTGGCTTGAGGCCATGGAAGATGAAATGAAATCTATGAATGTCAATAAAGTTTGGAATTTGGAGATAATTCCTAAAGGAGTCAAAACAGTAGGTTGTAAATGGGTCTACAAAACAAAACTTAACTCTCAAGGGAATATAGAGTGATATAAAGCGAGACTTGTGGCAAAAGGCTTTACGCAAAGAGAAGTGATTAATTATAATGAGACATTTTCTCCAGTCTCATGTAAGGATTCCTTCATAATCATAATGACATTAGTGGCACATTACGATTTAGAGTTACATCAGATGGATGTAAAGACGACATTTCTCAACGAGGACTTAGAGGAAAATGTTTACATGGCACAACCGAAAGGTTTTGTCATGGAAGGAAAAGAACGAATGAGATGCCGCC